TACGCTCAGACACGTGAATAAACTGGTCTATCCTCCATCCCCCTCTTGGCCAACTCCTTCCTCCACAGGTTATTTAGATAAATGCAACGCAGCAGCTTTTAGGAACGGCGCCAGTAGGAACTCTTTTCACCCAAAAGGGGGCGTCGTCAGTCTGAAGAGGTTCATTCATGGTGAGTCCCTCCAGGAAGGTTAGTGAGTAGTTTTGACTTACTTTAAAATATTAGCAATAATGTGGCTAAATGTGAGCTAACTGGCTTTCTAGGTGAACTTATTTGTCAGTTAAGCCCTTACAGACTGAGAGGAGAGGAAACAAACAAAAACAGAGAGTTAGAGGAGCGAGAATAAAGTGAGGAGAGAGGATGAACTACAGGCCTGGTACAGGACTTACTCTTCACCCCCTTCTTGCCCTTGCGCTCCTTCCTGTACTGCTCCTTGAGCTGGGCTATCAGTCCCTGGTCCACGTCCCAGGCCAGTTCCCCCAGAGGAGACTGCTCTTCCTTCTCTACAGGCCGGCAGGAGGAGGAGGAGGAGGAGGAGGAGGGGAGGAAGGTGGGGTAGAAACCTGTTATATGTGTCTGGATACACTACAGTACATATCCACCAACTTTACTTCGACAAACCTACGGAGGCAGACGGGATGAGGAGGAAGGATATTTACAGGGAAATGTCTACAAGCTTTTGTAGTTTTGGCCACATTTTCAGTTTCAGTTTGTGCTGCAGAGACTCAACTTAAAGGTCCAGTGTCAAACAGAGAGAGGAAACTGCTGTCAGAAATATAATATCCATAGGTTTTCATTAGTGCTTAATCACCTGGAAATAAGAATCACTGTGTGTTTGTTTTATCTACAGAGTGAGCGGGTCCTCTTCTACGGAGGGATGTTAAGAAATATTAAGACCTTTAAATTGTGATACAAATACAAAGAGTCAAATCAGTGAGACAGCAGAGGGCGCTCTCTACTTTTGATTTTGGTTGTTCGACGTCCTACATTGCTCACGTCAGTAGCTGTATGAAGACACGACGGCTGCCGGAGTCAGGATGTAGTTAGCCTAGCTTAGCATAAAGACTGGAAGCAGGGCGAAACAATTAGCCTGTCTCTGTTCAACTCGAGTCCAAGGTGAGCTGGTAGGTGTATTTTTGAACTGTAGACAGAGCTGGGCTAGCTGTTTCCCCCCACTTCCAGTCTTTATGCTAAGCTATGCTAACTACATTAGGGCACCAGGGGAGAAAATGTTTATCGTCACCTTAATTTTCACTTAATTCTGAAACTAAACAGAGGGCAAAACTACAAAAATAATGAAGTTCCCTGCAACTTTCAGCCTTTATAAAATCAACAAACATACAGTCGCTGTATTATTGTCTCCTGCTCACTAGCAGCATGTAATGAGTGACGTGAGACACTGTTAATGAACACGTGTTCTTTATGAATCACTTCTGACTCTGCTGAGGCTCCAAACATCAACAACAAAGAGGAACATCAACGGCTTCAAACTCTCTTCATACGTCAGACAAACAAACGTGAAACACAAAGGAAGATGAAATTCTTTGTGACTTTACTGGTGAAACACAAACACGATGAAAACAGCTGGAATCCAAATGGAGCTGGAATAAACTCTGATGGTTCGTCTGGAAGTGAAATGTTAACGCAGGAGAGCAACGCTTCTTCTCATGAAGAAGCCACAAAAGCACACAACAAGAGAGAGAGATTTAAATCATTAATATATCAGCAAACAGCTATTCTCTGTATAAAGATACAGAGTCTCACTCCCTCTGCCTGTGTTGTATCGCAACCTGCAAAAGTAAAGGGACTCCCATCAGCCTCAGCTGTACTTTGTGTTTACTGCTAATTAGCTAATGTTAACACGCTAAAGTAAGACAGTGAACATGGTGAACATCAGGAGGCAGCGTTCATTTGAGCATTTTAGCATGCTGACGTTAGCATTTAGCTCAAAGCACCACTGAGTCTTAAGTACAGCCTCGCCGAGCTGCTAGCTCCATTCAAAGAACAAGCATTTCAAAAGTTCTTTGCTCATTGTCTTGCAATACAAACGATCCTGTGAGTATTGGCTTTGTGTTTGTTGGGAACTCATCTTTAATCTTCCTCTATGTCCAGTCTGAACTGAATCTCAGCTGCAGTATGTAATATCCACTGGAGGGAAGAGACAGAGAGATGTTTCATTCTTTATTGTTTTTGTTAAGACGTGTGTCTCAAGTGTTAAAATGTGCAAACAGCAGCCGGCCCTGCAGCAGTTACCACTCACTGCCTGCAGGCGGCACTGTTGTTAAACTTGCAGCAGCTGTTTCTGTCTGCAGATACAGATGTTGCTGCTTCAGAAAGGCTCGAACAGACAAAATGCCTTCAGCTCCTCCTGACAGCTGAAACAGTGATAAAAATAACCTGCAGATGGTCAGCGGGTTCAAACACGAGACACGTGCAGAAATCAGTGAGGGGGAGTCGGCAGGACTGAGCGCCGCCGCGAAGACTGCGAGCTGAGGCTAAGAAAGGATCTCATCCCTTTAGCCCCGTGGCGAGTGACGTGTTGGGTCGTGGAGGAGGTGGCGTGGGTTCAGGAAGAAAAGACTTCAGTCAGAAATGACAAATCTGTTTCATAACGCAGCCGCACACAGACACGGTTTGTTGTGTTCAGCTGCTGTTATTTTCTGTCTGTGAAGGGAAACTACTGATTGTTTCACAGCTCCAAATAAAACGAAATATACAAAGAAAAACGGATTTATTTTTCCTCCTTTTCAGGCTTAATGCCTCAATACTGAGTGTGTTGTTCTGCGTTCAGTCAGCACTCCTTTACAACTCTCTGGACTGTGAAGTGTTGAGTCACAATCTGCGTGGGGATGCTTTTTGTCATTGGCCGAATGACACTGAATGTGTTGCTAAGCAACAGGAGAAAAAAGGGGTATTTTGTGTAAACTGCGGGGGCAGACAGGTCACCAGCTGGGAACTTTATTTTGTTAAGAGAGTTTTTTTTAATTTTACAGAGGAAATGTGTCGGTGCAGGAGCAGCTGTTTGCTGCCATTCAAAACCTCATTTGGTTTTAGTTTAGTTTATTAATTATATACTGTATAAATATATATATATAAGTTGGATGTACTGCACAGATATTTATACGTCTATAAAGATTTTATGTTTTTGCCATCAACTATCAGCTGTAAACAGTTAACATGACACTCTTTTGTAATCTCCCGAAAAGAAGACATAAATCTGTATTTAATACAAAAAAATAGTCAAATTCAGATAATCATGTTGCCCATGTTAACTAGTTAACTGTCCTCTGCACCTATTAACACTTACAGGTTATAAATCATTTGCCAGTAGATGTCACACTAGACTAGAGAACCAGCATCTTAGACCAAAACAATGGGCTCTACAGCCCACCAGACTCCATTAAGAAAACCGTACAAATAACACACCAAGACGTCGCTGTTAATAGACTACTCCTCCGATGCTGCTTAAAACGCGTTAAATCCGATACCACATTATTTATTAGCCCCATTGCCACCTTTTTCCCCAAGATAACCACAACACAGCCAGAGTGAGTAAAACACCATGTGACTCTGTATCTTTATATAGAGAATATCTGTTAGCTGATATATTAATGATTTAAATCTCTTATATAACCTTTAATTTCCAACCAATCGCTGACACCTACAGACTTCTTCTGAAACCCCCTTCATCTGAGAGTGTCCCCCCTTGTCTCACCCCACTCTCCGCTGTCCTCCCCGCTCCTGGACTCAGGGGATCCATCCAGCTCATCTGGACTCGCCAAGAAATCAAAACCCTTCAGTGCCTCCTCCGTGTCAGGGTCGTCGCTGAGGTCGGAGGTCGTGGAAGAAGGGGTGGATGACTGTTTCTTCCTCACCATCTGTTAAAAGGTAGAGACATGAGGAAGACTGAGGAAGACTGGAGTTCAGACAGAAGACATAAAACCACTGCAGCATAATTTCCTTCATATGTTTCTCATTTTATTCATTCTCAATATCCTGTTGAGTCGCCGGCCAGAATACACAAAACCAGAGTGTTAAAGCCAAATAATCAGCCCCATTAATCCGTCTATCACGAACGAACACACACGAAAATTGGTTGGCACATGTTTTATGTCCAGATGTACAAAGAAGCCTCTCGGAGCCATACCCGCAAACCAACAGGAAGTCAGCCATTTTGAATTCAATGTGCAAATCTGGTGCTAATTTTGCCATTTGCAGCCATTGTAGTTTAACAGACTCCTTCTAAAGAATTCATACGATTGACTTCGAACTTGGTCAGTTCAATCTAAAGAAGTTCACAATGAAGAAATCTTATGGTTTCGTCTAACGGCGCGTCCGTGGCGTCAAAAATCGTGAGAAATGACATATTGTACGTTTAATGTCTTACTGCAGCGAGGTCTAAGATGGTCTTGTCCCGCCCTTCGCTGTCCTCCTCCTCGTCCTCGTCGCTGAATTCTGCTGCAGCGCTCTCGATGAACTTGAAGGCCTCCAACACGGTGGCCGAGTCAGACATGTCGGGTTTACTGGAAGGAGACAGTAAAGAGTTTGTGTTGAACATCAGACAGACAGATACAGCCTGCACACTGAACAATGCTCCTGTTTACAACGTACTGGTGTTCATGGGAGCGTTCTGCTGCTTCGTCTACAGCTAACGGGGGTCTTAATGTTATGCTTTTTGGGCTTAAGTGTGCTTTATAGATCTTTGTTGTGAATGTAAAAGGTCTGAAAACTGCCAGAGCTCCTGCACTGCCACCGGGAAACAGAGGTGCTGCAGCAGCGGGCAGTGTGAGAAAAATAATGTGTTTTTTAAACAATGCATGTAAACCAGAATAGATCATATATAATATGGCCTCTTTAAATGATCAAGTGTGTAGATATTTTGGTGTTTCTGTATTTATAACAGTTGGATGTGTGTGCTTTTGTAAACCTTTTACATATTTTGAAAAGCTTGAAATCAAATTTAAAAAAAGAGTTTTTCAAGATTGAAACTAAGTTCAGAAGGACTGCATAATGTTTTGATAGGCTGGCACAGTGGTCCCCAACCTAGAATGCTTTTCTATCATTGAGTAAAAGTGACCTATATCACAGATCTTTCACTGTACAATAAACCCAGTGAACCTGATCATAACTAGGTTTTCGTCCGTATTCTACTTCTTGGTTATGGATATCATAAAGAATAATGACTGACATCGGAGCAACTGGAGCTCGTCGCTGTCAAACGTTCCAAATGAGTGATTATTATCATCCATCATCTCTCTACATTTGCATGTCTATAAGCCGTCTGTGTGTATGATTGTATTTCAGAGTGAAGAAATTATTAATGAAGTAAATCTTTGTCTTCTTATAACAGTCTTAATTTTTGTGTTTCCATGTTTGTAAAAATGGTAAAACACTTCCAAACTGATGGAACCTGAAGAAGCTACAGGTCATTCCAGTGTGCGTTGGTTCATTTGGATTTTGAACTGTGTAATCCTGCGACCTACCAGCACCACACAGCACACTCACAATGTGGACAGAGCCAGGAGCTGCACTCTGGATCCTAGTCTACCGGATCCTGCTTTCATTTACTGCCTTGATGGAACTCAGGACAGAGACTTTCTTGTAGATATTTCTATCAGGTAACCCTCCTCTGAGGTCCTGTGTTTTTGTACTGACACCAGTAGCTTTATGTCTGAGGTTACGGAGCCGTTACTCATCATCCTCGGAGTATCTCACACATTCAGAAGGCTAAACACAGCACAGCCGTGTTTTCTGTCTTACTGCCTTATAACAGCAAAGACATTAATCTTCATGGTGTTGAAACCGTTGCTGCTTGTAAGACATGGCCAGAGGACCTGAGTGAGACGCTTCATGTGGGGAGGATACGATAGAAAGACAGTTCAACAAGACCTGGAAACCCCTCAAAGCAAATCCTGTAAAAGTAAATCCTGTGTCGAGATGAGTGACCAGTGAATGTCGCTGCATGGGGAGGCAGGTGGGAGTAGGTACGAGGTTGGTAGAGAGGAGGGTTGCTATCATCACTGTTAATTTATTTATTCATTTTTATGAATCTTATTTCTAACCTCTTGTTACCTTTTTTTGTATTTGAACAGTTCAGTTTCATTCAATCTGTGATTTTATTTTGAAATTCCTTGGTTTCCTAATAACCTCAATGCCACATGCACAACTGTACGAGCTCTGAATGCAGTAATGCTCAATAAAAAGATGTTTGTTAAAGATATTTCTGTTTATCATACAACTACAGAGTGGAACTGAATAAACAAGGCACAGATCTGCTGGTGGTGAATCTCTAAAAGTTAAGACGACATTTTGTAAAGTTTAAAAAGGTTCTTTCTAAATGTAAAAAGTATTATTGTATAATTCATTATTAATAGCTCTGAAAGGCATTCGGCTGGGTCACTTTATTTCCGAGTCAATTCCAAAACCGGTCATGCTGCTGAGTTTCCATAACAGCAACGATATCCTTTAGAATCAAATGTAGCATGAGGATGAAGATCTTTGATATCTGAGTGGGACTTATTATAGCCTGCAAATGTTCTGGACCTTTTAAGGCAAGGTGTGACACCGCTTGAACTTCATGTAAAGGGCTTTACATTCAGTTTTATTGGAGGAAACATGAGATGTGCCAAAAGTCCTGCAACCATATACCAGCGTCACTTAGATGCTTCTCCAAATTTAAGTTCCATTCCTGGCTGCGAGGGTGATTGAGTGCGAGGAGTGGAGACAAACATCTCAATGTAAAATCATTTTCAAGGAAGTCAGAGAGGGAATTAATTATTTGTTGGAGCAAATTAGTTGATCAAACACTCACGTATGTGTTGCATCGTGTCTATTCTGGGGCACTGCCATCACACTTTTATAAGCAATAGAGCCGATATTACTAATATTACACAACATACTCTATTAAATATATAAATGGAGTGTGAGGGACTTGCTAAGTGGTATTTTATTGATGGTGATACCGATGATATTCTTGATATTTACTGCATGTCAGGGCGAGATCTGAAATGTGGAGAAGCCCCGACACTGGATACCCATGACATTTGAGTTCATCTTGCTAAGGACATTAGGGAAGTCGAGGAACACGCCATGAATAGATTATTTAAATGTGTATTTAGAAATGGCAATGGCAATTTGATTTATAAGATTAGATGAACGATTAGATAAACTAATAGAGATAAAGTCATCTCCCACTGGACATTCACTCACAGCAGCAGTAGCAGCTCCAGATACACAACAAGAAAATACACATTAAATAAAACATATAATAGAAAAATACAGGATATAATGAAAATAGGAACAACAGAATGAGAGTTATATGTAAAGCTTTTATACACAGATGTGATTGATGTTGATTTATGTGGCAGATTTAATTGAACTCAATGTGGTTTATATTGACAGTAAATATGGAAATATAGGTGTAAATGTAAGAAAACAGAACAGAAGCGACTTAAAAATAAGAATTTAAGCATAACTAAAATGCATTTATATCATACAGAGTGTATCATCTAATCAAATCTACAAAAATTCTGATCCTGCTCGATTAATTTACCATTTCCAGTTCCAGAGTTTTATTTCTCTGTTGATAGTCGAGCAATGTAATGTCATTAAACACAATGTTACAAGATGGGTGTCTCGATGTCTGGGATGCTTGACCTAATCGAGAGGCTGCTGCTGCTGAGTGAGCAACTTCCAGCCTCTATAAAAGCAGCAGCCTCAGACTCCTCTGACAACTGACAACATCATCCCAGGTTAGTGCTTTCTCTCATTTCAAAATGCCTTTAACTCTGTTTCTGTGTGCACTTTGTAATGACTCTTAATGGTCCATTTAGTTGATATTATGTTATTGATATTTCACGTTATATTCAACACTAACAATAAGAGAACAGCTGATAAACTGCACAATGAACACAAACAGTGAACTCAACAACTGTATTATCTCTTTGATAACTTTTAACAATCAAACAGACTGAACAGACGAATATTATCGGGGGCTATAATGGGAGATTTATCTTTTTATTTTTCAGGTCTTTAAAGTTTAGATCTGAAATAATAAAACAAACTTTAATAAAACTTAAATAATGAGTCATTCAATAGTATCTGAAGTACCAAAGTTCTAAAAAACAAACATCTACATATTTATAAATAATAAAATAAACCGGTCCCAAACCTTAATAATAATTAAAATTATTACAAATAACTCCGATTTTTTGTGCTTAGGACTTTGTTTTTGCCTTAATATCAAAAGACAGATCAAGTAAAGTTTTTAACCTCAGTGCTGTAATAAAATCTCATGACAGTTCCTGCAGTGTGACTTTGGATAGACAGCGGTTTACACGTTGTGTCCTCTCCAATGATCCTCTCAATCTTTCTTTAACAGCATCCCCGGACAACAAGACATCTGTGCCACTCAGTTGGGATAAAGTGAGGTAAGACTTCACATACGAGACAATATCCACACACAAAGACAACAATCAGTGCTTAAAGTCCAGTGTGTAGGATTTAGTGGTATCTAGCGCTGTAGTCGCAGATCTATAGCCAGTGCTCGGTTTGTCTGTTCTGGGCCGACTCCGTGGTAACGCCGCTCTTATATTCAGGTCATTAAACACTAATGCAAACATACCTATGAATGATATCCATGTTACACACAGGACCTTTAAATTATATAATAATGAAATATTCAGAGTCGTTCAAACTGCGTCTGGTCTTTTCAGCCCCCACTAAAGTGCCACCATGAGCACAGACGCAGAGATGGCGCAGTATGGGCCTGCGTCCATATACCTCCGCAAGCCTGAGAAGGAGAGGATTGAGGCTCAGAATACTCCTTTTGATGCCAAAACTGCCTTCTTTGTGGTCGATCCTGATGAAATGTACCTGAAGGGTAAACTCGTCAAAAAAGAGGGCGGCAAAGCCACCGTGGAAACTCTCTCAGGAAAGGTGGGTCAAACAGGACCACGTCCATCACATAAAATATGTTTTTTTAAATTTTGCCCGAGTAAAACTGGACTGTGTTTTCCATTCAGACGGTCACAGTCAAAGAAGATGACGTCACTCCAATGAACCCTCCGAAGTATGACAAGATTGAGGACATGGCCATGATGACCCATCTCAACGAGCCCTGCGTGCTGTACAACCTCAAAGAGCGTTTTGCATCATGGATGATCTACGTGAGTATTTCACTTAGACATACTACAAGAGGTTTTTTACTGCAGTCTCAGGTTAAAGGTCCAGTGTTGCAGCTCTTGGGTTTGCAGAAGTTTAAACCTTTCTTCTCCTTCCAGACTTACTCTGGTCTCTTCTGTGTCGTCGTGAACCCCTACAAGTGGCTTCCTGTGTACGATGCTCAGGTTGTTGTAGCATACAGAGGCAAGAAGAGAGTTGAGGCTCCACCCCACATCTTCTCCATCTCTGATAATGCTTATCAGTTCATGCTCACCGGTAAGATATTTCAAAGCAAGACACAGCAGATATGACCTGAAATATGACTGTATTTCGACCACATATGGTATTTTATGGTATCATATTTGTTCCTTTCAGATCGTGAGAACCAGTCTATCCTTATCACGTGAGTAATGTACAAATAACTAAATAACTTTATATGATACTGATATATGTGACTGCAGATATATCTCTCTCTTCCCTCAGTGGAGAATCCGGTGCAGGAAAGACTGTCAACACCAAGCGTGTCATCCAGTACTTTGCAACAATTGCAGTGTCCGGAGGCGGAAAGAAAACCGAGCAACAAGCTGGCAAAATCCAGGTAAAAATGGCTTTAATCAAAGGTTGAATTGTCTATTTATGGATTCTTCACAATCTACAACGATATCTTTCTCTAGGGTTCACTGGAAGATCAAATCATTGCAGCCAATCCTCTGCTGGAAGCCTATGGTAACGCCAAAACTGTGAGGAATGACAACTCCTCCCGTTTCGTAAGTTTTGAAAGGGCCATAAAATAAACATTTAAACTCTTTTTGAGCTGCTTGTAAGGAATCCTGCTAACTTAAATCTGACATGTTTAGGGTAAATTCATCAGGATTCACTTCGGCACCAGTGGCAAACTGGCCTCCGCTGATATTGAAACATGTGAGTACAAGACATCTGTTGCCACTGTATGATGTCATACATGCAATATGCAGTAATCTGACCTCGACTTGTTAATCATAGATCTGCTGGAGAAGTCCCGTGTGACCTTCCAGTTGTCCGCTGAGAGGAGCTACCATATCTTCTATCAGCTGATGACAGGACACAAGCCTGAGCTCCTGGGTATGTTACTACACGAGTCTGAAGTTTAAACAAAACCAGTAAATACACCAAACAACACTGTGTATTTCTACTGTGCTCATGTAGAGGCTCTCCTGATCTCCACCAACCCCTATGACTACCCAATGATCAGTCAGGGTGAAATCACAGTCAAAAGCATTAATGATGTGGAGGAGTTCATCGCCACAGACGTAAGGCAGCAATTTAAATAGATCAGTTTATATACAGGGGAAAATGTTTCACACACGGATAACTTTTCTTTCATTTATATCGCAGACTGCTATTGACATCTTGGGCTTCACTGCCGAGGAGAAATTGGGCATCTACAAGCTGACCGGAGCTGTGATGCATCACGGCAACATGAAGTTCAAGCAGAAGCAGCGTGAGGAGCAGGCTGAGCCAGATGGCACAGAGGGTAACTGCTACAATCATACTCATCATTCAAGTTATCTATCCAGCGACACTTCACGTTATGATTTTGAGATTGAAGACAAATTTATTACAGAAGAAAATCTCTAAAATACATTTTCTTTACCAAATTATAGAATATGTTTTTTATTTCTGAGGTAGCGAATAAACTGGGCATTTTTTATTTTCTTTGATTGTTCAAACAGATCTGTTCAATAACAACCTGAGTTGTGTCCACCGTTGAATAGGCTACTTTAATGAACTATGATAAGTTACAGCACCCCCCGCTGCATATCTGCTGTAGATGCAGTGCCACTGCTTTACTTCTGGAGTTGTTATACTACCGAAACCAGTATCTGAAATTCCTCCAATACTGCCCAAAATGCAATCAATTAAGGACCCTGACCCCAACAGTGTCCCGTTCACCATTTTTTCCCCCAGGATAGCGAAGTCATGACCTGCCCAGCTCTGATTCTGACAAAGGGTTTAACCTGAGCGAGGCCACACAATGATAGCAATCATACAGACTTAGTAGTATAAACTTAATAAATGATAATAAAAATCTATTTCACAAACATGTATCGGATTGGTACTCCGTATTGGTAAACATGGTGTCGGAACATCTCTATTTATTACAGCACCGTTTTAAAACTACAGATGAACGATCTCTGTGAGTCTACAGCGATGCACCACGTCGACTTGTGGGTTTGACAGTCGACCGTTCTGTGAAGCCTCTAATGTGTACTCATTGTCTTTCCTTCCACCAGAGGCTGATAAAATCGCCTACCTTATGGGCCTGAACTCAGCTGATATGCTGAAAGCTCTGTGCTACCCAAGAGTCAAGGTCGGAAATGAGATGGTGACCAAAGGTCAGACCGTTCCACAGGTAATGGAAAAAAAACTTGCCCTAACCTTAACCCTCTTAAGACCCACCCTAACCCTACCCATAACCCCTAACCCAACCACGCCTGTATATCCCTAACCCTCGTCGCCAGTGGGCAGGTGGGTTTTAAAAAGGTAAAAAAATGGGACTTTTTGATACAAAAATATTATGACAAATTCCCACACTATACTGTTTTATATACTTCTTTTTATATTATTTCTAGGTCAACAATGCTGTCAGTGCTCTGTGCAAGTCCGTCTATGAGAAAATGTTCTTGTGGATGGTCATCCGTATCAACCAGATGTTGGACACTAAACAGCCAAGGCAGTTCTTCATTGGTGTCCTGGATATTGCTGGATTTGAAATCTTTGATGTAAGTTAAATAGAAGCACATAAGTAGTGATTATGTATAAACACTACATGCTCAATGGACTGATCATCTACCTGTATACTGTAGTTCAACACCTTGGAGCAGCTGTGCATCAACTTCACCAATGAGAAACTGCAACAGTTCTTCAACCACACCATGTTTGTCCTGGAGCAAGAGGAGTACAAGAAGGAGGGTATTGAATGGGAGTTCATTGACTTCGGTATGGACTTGGCTGCCTGCATTGAGCTTATTGAGAAGGTAAGTAACCACTCTGGTAGATGTGATTTCTTTATTCATGTGTAAATGATTGCTTCCTCAGTTTAATTTTTATGACATGTAAATTCTTCTCAGCCAATGGGCATCTTCTCCATCCTTGAAGAGGAGTGCATGTTCCCCAAGGCCTCTGACACAACTTTCAAGAACAAGCTGCATGATC